CGCAAAAAGCAGTCGCGAGTTCGACTCTGGCCTGGGGTCCAAGTTGGGGTACACGTTTTGCAAATATTTCATCCTCATAGTGGTTGTATTTTACATCATACTCTTCTTTTTACATGCTCCGTCTACACGTCTACTGTGTAGGTCCCAGCAGCAATACTCGGTCTTGCAACTTTTACGTGCGGCTTCGGGTTCTGCTAGAGGATTTTAATTTCACGTGTCGTATAATGCTGGTGGAGTCGATTCTGCCTACAGTGTCAGGATGGCTGGGTTAGAGCATTACCACTCGGATTACAGATAGTGATTTTTTTTCCGTGCAACCCGTACAAATCCGGTACCAATTTCCCGACTCCAAACGGATGAGGGGCTTAGTGGGCCGATGCAGGATCGAACCAGCACCGTGCTTGTGATGGTCGGCATCTCTAGCACTGTTCTATCCACCACATCTCGCCTTTCCCATATCATCCCCTACCGCAAAAATAACATTAAGCAGCAAATAAGAAGTTAAATGTTAAAAAGTTGTGCATAAGTGTTAGTCGATAAAAATATCAGGTGAAATTTTTTTCGTTACTGAGTTACAAAAAAAGAAATCAGAAGAGATTTAAGGAAACAAAGACTTCGTTGTGTAGTCAAGTTGTACTCACATTGTAGTAGAGAAGCGGAGAGTACGGTAGCGCATCCAGTGGGGTCATTGAACCGTTACAGGTTCGGAATGTCTTGAGAATAGGAAGTTAGTTTCTTATTTTAATATCTTCTGCAAATATCTTTTAGACTGCAAGAGAGGAGTAGAAAAATACCGCAGTTATAAAAATAAAAACGGAAAAAGTGTGCACTTGCAGAAATTGAACCTCGACGATGCTGCACTCGGTGAAATTCCTCCACTGAACGCCACCGTATCCTGGAACTATCGAATACCTTTAATGAAAAAGATGCAAAAAAAACAGCCACAAAGAAAAAGTCACGACCAACTAGGAAGGAACAGTATGTTGCCTTTTTCTAGCAGATGAAGAGGAATGGAAATCTACGAACAGGTTTCGGAAAAAAGCATATAAGCCATTTTCTGACAAATAAGCTTTCAAAAAACGATTCCGAAACAACAATTAGGCATCATTTCAACTTGCTTGAATGTCTTACTACTCTTCTGAGTTTTCCAGGTAGAAAGAAACACATAGAGCGAGAAAACGTGACTGTATCATTTAAAATATTCAACTGATTGGATCTCCGAGACATATGATATCTTTCTTTTACTGATTGATTCATCGTAAGCAGTTTTGGCCCTTTTTGGAGCTTTTTCGGGATATTCTAAATAGTTCTCTAGCAGAGTAACATCTTTTGTGGGTGGACCTTGGACAACAGGGTATGGAGCACATTCTCCAATATGTTTCCGTTGTTGAACAGAAGCAGATATAAGCTTTCGAATTCTCCTGATGATTAACAGATATTTTTTTAGTTAAACACTATGCTACGACTGAAGGTCAATATGGATTAGTCATGATTTACAGCATGGAATTCAAGGTGAACATCACTGGATATGGGAAGACAGTTTCAAAAATACGACACTATGAAATAAAGGTCAAAAAAAGTTTACGAAATATAGTCGCATCCACAAAGTCCTCGGGTATTGGCCATGACATGGCACATGTGCACCGATGGAAGGACCGAATAAACGGCTCCTCTTCGTACGAGCGGCAGTAACGATTGTTATGTAGGAAGTGGTGTCAAAATGTATTGTCGATTTGTCGGTGTGAAGAAAGCAAACCAAAAACAAACGGGTGTTAATAAGTAACAGAGTAAATTTGGAACAAACAGGACTTGTAACTTCGCCTTGTGGAGTAACGAACTCTTCTGGTACGACGATGGTCACCATGTGATGACCACAATCCATTGATAGGTAGAAGATGTTACTGCAAGTGTGATTGTTCTCGCGATTGGTAATAAGACCGGCTGTGGATGCTGATGTCAGATATGAATGAAACACCATAATCACTATTCCGCCTCTATAGCTACGTGATGTTCGACAAGTGCCGAACGAGCGTCACGTTAACAACAAACCAAACAACGAACATACAACAGATTCACCATGGTGTGCCGGCCGTCGTGGCGACTCGTTCTAAGGCTTAATCGGGCCCGACGCACAAACGAATACGCTTAGAACTGGTAGATATCTTAGATAACTTGCATAGGCACACGTTCACAAACACACATACACAGACAAACAAACATATGTCTATATACACAAACACTCATATATATATATATATATGTATATTTATATATATGTATATATATATATATATCACCTGTTTCACCTATAGTCCCGCTGATCGTTGAGTGACTCGAGCGGGAGCCAGTAAATCTTCCATTTTTTGTTGCGTGCAAGAGTAGCCCAGTGGGTTCTGTTCGCTCTAAGAACTCGTCGAGCATCATATCTTTCTTCAAGGCTCTTTGCGAAGAACTCTGACCATTGGGTCGGTGGTCTTCCTGCAGTACGTTTGACATCTCGAGGAATCCAGTCACTTACGGCTCTTGTCCATCGGCTGTCATTCATACGCATTACGTGTCCGGCCCACCTTATCTTCTACTGTTTGGCGTACAGAGCACCATCTTTGAATTTTGATCGTTCACACAGGTCGAAGCTTCGGATCCTATCTCTTACTTGTGTGAAACGGGACACTCCAAGCATTGTCCATTCGACTGGTCGTTCGATAACGCTGAGTGATCTTTCATCCTACTTACCCAGCGACCAAGTTTTGACTCATACGTTAGGGCACTACCGTTCAGTCGAAAAGGTGGACACGGAGTCGGGTGTTTTTTGTTCTCTTTACTACATCCTTGGTGCTCTTGAAAGCTCACCAAGCCGCTCGTTTCCTTCTACTCAACTCTGAAGCTAAGTCGTTCATCATGTTGATTTCCCGACCTGGATAGAAGTGACTGGAGCATTCGGAGACATTCGTTCCGTCGAGTGTGAAAGGGGCATACAAAACCAATTTGTTTCTCATGAACATTTTTTTGTGAGATTTACTCGAAGACCAATCTTTCCACAGGCTTTATCAAAGACGGCAAGCATACGTTCTGCTCGGCTAATGTTTGGTGTTATAAGGACGATGCCACCAGCAAGGCCAAGATGATGTAACTTCTAACCATTGATTTTCACACCCATGTTGTGTCATTCCAATGCCCGCATGAGGTTCTGGAGGGTGGCGGCAAATGATTTTGGCGAGATGGTATCGCCCTGCCTAACACCTCTTTTGACGTCGATGTTAATATCATGGTAGAATGGTGATACCATGGTTGTGAAATTTTTGTGCAGTTCACGATGAACCTTATGTATTATGTACTGAGTAGGGACTCCTTAACTACTAAGGGCATGCATAACTGCTTGTCTCTTAATTGAGTCGAAGGCTTTCTGTAAATCGATGAAAGTGGTACAGAGCGTTTTGTGTACTCTCGCGATACTTCAGTGAGCCTGGTTAACGTGTGGATGTGGTCCATCGTACTAAATCCTTTTCGAAACCCTGCTTATTCACATAGTTGTCCTTCGTCCCTTCGTCCAGTGTTCTCTCAATCCTGGTTAGGATGTCTCGAGTGAAAGGTTTGTAGACGACAGAGAGCAAACAGATTGGGCCATAGTTGCCGATATCGGGTAGGTCACCCTTCCTGAACAATAACATGGTCTTCTTAGTCTTTCACTGAGTGGGGACCTATATATATATATATATATATATATATATATGCACAACAGCACATTTCACCTCACTGTAGAAGTTCTTTATTGGCAAATATCGGAAACAACATAAGAACTATGGGCCAATATNATATTGGCCCATAGTTCTTATGTTGTTTCCGATATTTGCCAATAAAGAACTTCTACAGTGAGGTGAAATGTGCTGTTGTGTATATATATATATATATATATATATATATATGCACAACAGCACATTTCACCTCACTGTAGAAGTTCTTTATTGGCAAATATCGGAAACAACATAAGAACTATGGGCCAATATAAAAAAGGATAAAGATCTCGGCGTTGATCAATCCCTCAAAGATCCGCCATGCATTCGACTTCACTACTCATCGTTTGGAGGTGATTGAATTAATATCTGGCCTTGATAATAACCCGCGGTGGCACACCGTTGTATCGAGCCAGGGCTGCTATCCTCGAAAAAAGTTTGGTACCAATTTGCCAACCCCGGAGGAATGGAAGGCTTGGTGGGCCAGTGACGCAGAAATCGATCACATGTGTATTTCAGGGCGCCTCCGATCACTGGGCCACACGCGCCAGTAGGCCAAGTTATATTTTGCAACATACCCTGCCATTAAAAAGAAAAGGGCAGTAAATAAAAGGGTTAAGATTATGATTATAACTAATCTTCAGCTTAACTGGGTTCAATGCCGATTTGGACTCCCCAGATCAATCCCGTTGACGGGTGAATGCTGATGGCAAAAAGACCGATAGAACTAGCTGAGAGACAGGCAAAACGAAGGATCCGGATGGTGTGGTGGTGAAGTGCTCTACTCCCCTGAAAGGACAATAGCGCGCGTTCGTTCCCCACCGCATACACCTGCGGTCCGGAGTTTTGCAAATATTTCAGCATTATATACGAGTTATATTTCATTAATTACCGTTGGAGGTGATTGAATGTACATCTGGCCTTACATCTGGACTGACTCGCTCACACAAGTCTGGCACCAATTTTCCGAACCCGGAGGGACGGAAGGCTTGGTGGGCGATTGGCGCGGAGATCGATTCCACGTTTGTGTCGTAGTGTCGCTTCCAACCACTGCTTCACATGCTTGCATGCCTCAGAAAAAATAAAATGATTCCAATTGTGATCTTTCTAAAAGTTCAAAAGAGCAAGAGAAAACTGGATGGAATACTAGTGACGGTTTAACTACTGTTTAAATCGTGCACAGTCAGAAATATATAACAGCTAGCAATAATATTTTGAATCAATAAAAACTTGATGAAATCTAGAAACACTTTAAACTGTTAATGCTAGAAACGAAAGAAGGTTAGAGTTGATAAGGGCTGTCTTAGATCTTGACCCCATACGTCCGTCGGCTATTGACTCCAGCAAGATATCGACATGGTGGATCAAGGTCCTACACTTTTCAAGACCATCATTTGTCTTCAGTACTGTCGGCGAGTCTTGCCAAGCTCAGCCCACAAGTCCTTAAAACACAGCATTAAGCAAGTATTTGTTATTACCTGAAGTAAAATGTCTAGAAGGCAAGTTCTCTTAATATTTCATTAAGCAAGAGCTATAACTTCTTCTCACATCACTCGTTTTCAGTTTTCTTTTTGTCCTTGTCCTAATTGGAGTAGTATTATCGATACCACAGAAGAAAGCATTCTTCACTAAGGTTTGTTCCTCTTTACATCCATAAGTTACTGACACATGTAGTAGAGGAAATGATCTAGATAGTAGAACACGGTTTTCTTTCCTCTTTTTCTTTTCTTTCAGAACTTGGTTTGTCCCAATAATTGGACACGTTTTCGTGATTCGTGCTACTATTTCGAAACGACTAAAATGCGATACGATTTAGCTGAAGTAAGATGTCTTGAAAAAGGATCAACGTTATTTGTTGCTGATTCTATGGAAGAATGGGTAAGTTCTTCTCAGATAAGAAACTTTGTCATTGTTCGTATTCCTGTTGTTTCTTTTTGTTGTGTACAGCGCAGTGGTTAGACTTCCCTGCTGTATAATCGTGCCCGTGGGTTCGACCGTTCGATAAGGGGCAAGCCTCCTCCTCTGTCTTCGATATCGTCAAATTGAGACTAAACTTTTCCGGAAAGACTGAGTTGACACAGTGCTAGCCTTTCGCATGTCCTTGTATAGGCCAGTTATGTACTCACTCACATTTGCGACACTACGAATAAAGAAGAATGCATGTGCATTTCTAAGGAATTGGCTAACGCAAAACGCTTTATCCTTTAACCTATATTCACTATTTTTCTTCAGCTTACGGTACTCAGTCAAACACCACCTGACTACTGGAGTTGGATAGGTTTAGAACAGCAAGATGATGAAAAACAACCACGTTGGACGACACCAGGCGGGATGAATGTCTCGGAGATGTAAATTATTAATAGTAAGATTGTTTTTCTTTTCCAACTTCTCGAAATGATGTTGCCTGCACAGAGAATGGTTGCTGAGCCCCAGAACATCGGAGATGAACGGCTGGAACTTGATAGCCAAATGTGTTGGCTATTTCCGCTCAAGTGTCATTTCATACGCTTTCTTTTACTATTGCGGAATAGGTTTCAACTCAATTTGCGAACGGAACGCAACTCTCCTCGCAAATATCTGGGACGAAAGTGACAGAGGTTTTTAGACAGTGTGTCATTTATAATATCTTAACCATTATTGGCCAATTTCTTTACGTCATAATTGGTCTTAATTGGAGGAAAAGTTTTCTTCAGGTGTATGTTTCACCTGCTAGGACACGTCTACCGTATGTCATTTTAAAATATACCATTATTGTTCTATTAGGAGTAAATGTGTAATATTTAGAGGCATTGTTGTGTAACCTTTAATGACTTATTAGGAGTGGTTCATTATGTTCCACGAGACATAAGTAACGCCTAACTTAATTTGCTTTAATAATCACTTGTAAATTAATCAATATCCTTCGCGTAAAATCTCCGGATAAACACTAAAACACTTATTTTGCAATGGTTTACAATCCAACGTTTTTTAACTGCCAAGTTTTCATCGTTCCAGCGTTCTTCATTGATTTTCTTTTGAAGAAGTACTTCCTGGAGATTCGATGAGTGTCGATCTTCTAAAGCGCTGGTGCTGAGAACAACGAACTTCAACAATTTGAGCTTAAGCTTTCATTTAATAAATATGGTTTTTGAGTTGTCCTGACTTGTAGTTTTAAGCGTAGTCCTTCTATTAGTTCATATAATAGAACTGAATATCTCATAAATGGTATTAAGCACAGATCTTTCTCTACCACTATCTCGCTCTCACATTGGTCTAGGCTGTGGCTTAGACGTAAGGCCTGCAATCCTAATCTGGCAAGGTTTCTAGGGCTTTTCGAGATCTCGAAATCTCGAGAGCCGTTCTGATCTAGAAAGAGTATTGTTGCCTTATTAATATCTTCCTGCAAAGTGTGGCAAGCGATCTCAAACCCTGTTATAAGCCAATTCCTGGTGAAGAAATTAGTTCTAGAGCTACTAAGTGGGAAATACTTTGTTCCGCGTAAAATGATTTTTTTTGTTTTTGATCAGGAAATGCCTCCAACATTGAATCCACTTAAACGAAAAATGTCACTGGTAGGATTGAATGTCCTACATATTATGTCTTAATCATATCTTCTCATATATATCTTCACTCTTTGCATCACCCACTGTCCGTCTTGTCGTTGGGTATCTCGAGTGGGCATTATCAAGCTCCATCTACCTCTTCCACACGTTTTTTATTTGGTCTGTCTTCATGTCACCTGTGTGGATCCCAGCACTTCTCACATTCGATTCGTTTCCACGCATCCATCGTCCACGAAGATCTTCCAAGTTCTTCGCGTGGCTTCGGTTGGTGTTTGAGGTTTTTCACTTCATCTTGAATGTCACGGAATAGTGGTCGAGCAATTGTCCGTAGAGTCCTGAGATAGCCGAGCTTGAATGCTTCCAATTGGCTTGCAGAGAGTGATTTTTCCCAGAGAAGCCCGGTACCAATTTCCTGATTCCGGAGAGATGAGAGGCTTGGTTGGCCTGAGGCGGAGTCCAACTAGAGTCATGCTCGTGATGGCGGGCATCACTACCACTGCGCTGTTCCTTCTTCGGCACAATAGTGCCGTTCAATAGCTTCGGTTGCTCAAAGTAAACGAAGAACACCATACTTCCGATACGGATTGTCGCTTTTTAATAAGTTTTATTAAAAGATATATACAGGTGGAAAAGAATTCTTCGCATATTGGATCGTAATTCTTTACTCAGGTTCATACTCTATCGAGAATATGACGGCATGCCATTAGAATTTAAAACATTCATGACGGTGCCTAATTTTGCTTTAGTGTTGCTTGGCACAGCGCCAGATTTCGTGTCCTTTCGAATCTGCGCTTAAATTCGCGTTTCAATAATAGACGGCATTCAACAAGAGGAGTTGAGAAGTTGAGAGCTTAATGGAAATGTAGAAAAGACCTCGGTCTATCGCTTAAGAGGGATAGATGGCATGTGTGCTACCACTTACTGTATGAAACTTTGGTCCTCCATACAAACGCACTGCTGTTTTGCAGCTTATATCTAGTCTATTTCTGTATTTTTTGCACCCACACATTTCATATAATAACCACTGCTTATTTTGCGACTGAAGTTAGAATAACATTTAATTGCGAGTCGAATCTCTGGTAAACGAGGTTCGAGAAGAAGTTCTTTGCGTGTTTCTAAATGTATCAAAAGCTATTCCCTACCGAAGCTCGCCACACCTTTCGTATTGGACAAGTTATATATAAGTGGCCCAGGAAAACAATTCAGCGCCGTAGAACGAATAATTTAGAAGGATATGAGCTTTGTAGAGGTCCTAATATTCATAATATCCGCTTGCTCATGACTTCTACCGAGGTCACGTGGACGAGAAGGTGTTAAACAGGTGATATTCTCAAACCGTTTATTGCTTTACTTCTATATCGCTTTAGGACAGCTTGATCCTCTAATTGTTTCACTTGCAAGAAGATTTACTAATTCGAATATTTCTCAGTGTTACGAACTTGAAAGAATACTGAGTTCTCTTTGGATTTCATTGAAATGCGAGAATGACAAGAGAAAAAAAAGAAAAAGAGGCTGAAAAAGCGAAGTGAAAAAGACAAGCGCAGTTCATTGATACCTCTCTCATTCTTTTATTTTCAACTGATTAAGGTATTTAATGCATAGGACTTTTTTTATTCGAGGACTACGTTCATTTTCGTGTACATGCGAAGAAGCGGATTAGTAATGGATGAAAAGCGAAAGATTTCTCGAGACATAAGAACTTCTTCCTGAAAACTTTCTTAAGAAGCTGCCTAAAATTTGAACATTGCTTTTGGAAGAATATGGGAAGATTACTTTGAAAACCAGATTGTCAGATTTTTATAAAACATCGACGTCTCTTTTTAGCTCAACGAAGTTGTACATACTTTGATTTGTGCACAATCTATAGACAAATCGATACGTATCTTTTGCTCGCGCTCAATCGATTTTTATTTAAATATCGTGCTGTTTTACAAAAAATAACAGCCTGCATGAATCAGCTGTTTCGAAAAGCTGTGCGAGCTTTAGCACGTATTTTATTCTTTCCGTTGCCTCGTGCTTGTCGTTCGTGGTGGTGAGATTGTGCCAAGCATGGTGATGGAGGTCAAAAAAATCTGGCAACTACGACCACAACTAAGTGCCGTGAGCCGTACAAACTCCATTCCATTTCGTAGGCATTGGCCACAGAGAACTCCTGCATTTTTAAAATGTTCTCAACCTTTCCTTCCATCATTTATTCCACACCAACTCATAAAATTACATTACAGTGCTCTTACCGTTATACTACCGCAATTTGTACCAGATGTGCGTTGCCCTGGACTCCACAGAATGGTTTGGAGATCTGCGTGATTTACGTTCTGACGTGCGTCTGCTAGTCAGAGACAATGCGTAGAACTCACTACATGGTTATGGAAAGCCAAAAATTTAAAGGAACGTTGAGTATTACAAGTAACTGTCGAATTTTCCCTTTCCATCTGCCAATTTATCAGTGATCAGAAACTCAGCGAAAGTCCACAGGCGGACTGTAGTGCTGTGCTCCTTCCTTACAGGTCCTCCTTTTTATGCTTATTAAGGTGCCCAAGGAACACGTAATATGAGACGCTTTGTGGTGTTGAACCATCTATCACTCCGGTTTTTAAACTTTCGCACCCACAACACTTTGTTTTCTCATCATGGATAACGTCTATTTCAGTGTCTTTCTACGCGATTTCTAGATATCTAGTTCATCTCCAGGGTAGGACCAACCAAGCTTAAACAACATTCGGCATCTCCATTAAAAAGTCCATTTGCGTCCATTTAGGAAAAAACCAGAATCAGAGTCACAGTCGTCATGGCAAGAACGCATCATTTAAACCTTTAAGCGATGACGTCGTGGGAAGCCCATTTACTGCTTCGATGTTCCAAGGAAAGAAAATCTTTCCCAAGCAACAAATTGTCGTTTAAATGAAATTGTGCTGCAGCTGGCAGAATTTTTTTGCGATTATTGGAGATGGTCCATTCTAATACTGAAGCATTAGTAAGCCTTAATATCCAGGACTTCTTCACTACCTGTGTTTTCTTTCTATTTATCCGCAGTATTTTCCTTCTTACGCTCTGTGAATTCCTGCATGCTATGCGCTTTATTGGTTAACTCTTCAATAATATGACAATAAATGCTGATGACGTTGATAGGAATGTATCTTAACTGCGCATCGTGAATGACTCGCATCCGTGCTATGGCCTTACACAATATCGAGCTGGAGATGTTCCTGATTGCCGGTATGACGCGAGCGGCGGGCACCTCAGCGGAGTTTTTCAAAATGATATCGGAAATCGGAAAACTAATAACAGTGATATCCACCTTTCTGCAAGAACAAGAGTCAAAAGGTGGTGAAGCCTTCATTAACCAGGAGTGGTTGCAATATTCGATGACGACCTCTGAACGCCCCAATAAGGTTGGTATACCAGAATAAAGCTAAGCAACTCGTTTGCTCATGGGCCACATTTCGACAGAAAAACATCAATTTGAGAAAGAGTCACTTGGAAGAAGTATAAGGATATCTCGAAATTCATGGTATTTCCGAGAAAGGGAGTTGATCTCCTCTCAAATTCCACCATTTTGACAAGTTTCAACAGGTCACGTTAAAGGTAAATTTTAGAGAAACGTTACTTGATTCCGCTGCATAAATGCGTAACTAATAACTGGATTTCGTAAAAGACACATTGCAATTTCTATAAACCCATAGTTTCCTGCAATTCAGAACCTACCACTTTGTTTTCTGGTTTTACACATTCTGGAATTTGAAGCGTTTCAACGACGATTTTAAGACGTCTGCCACAATAATCCAACACGTCGCGTGGCCATTCGTCTGATGAGATAAGGTAAAGCTGGAAAGTCGTTGAGACATTATTTAGCTGTTCTTCACAAAATTTTTGGCATAGTGTCTTTGAAAACCTAAATTTTTTCTTCAAAGATACTTAAGAATTCTGAAGTTTACACGTACACATCGAATCATCGTATGTTCAGATTTCACCGCGCAAACAAATTAACCTTAAAGAGGATGAAAAGGATAAAGCTCTCGGTGCTCATCAATCCCTAAGGGATGCACCATGAATTCGACTTCATTAAGTATCGTTTTGATGTGATTGAATGCATATCTGGCCTTTACGATGACTCACGATAGCCAACCGATGTATCAAGCAGTGCTGCTATCCTCCCAGACAACTCTGGTACCAATTTGCCGATCCCGGAGAGATGGAAGGCTTGGTGAGCCTTGGGACCGGAGATCGATTCCACGTGTGTGTCGCAGTCGCGCCTCTAACCACTGCTTCACAAGCGCCCTAAATTAACCGTATCACTAGAGAAAAGCAAGTTTGCTACCTTATTTAGAAATTTTTTACTCCAACGACCACTAGATTTGTAGGCCTCCAGTAGTAGAATAAAGACATGGAAAGTTGAGAATATGCTACTGAATAAAGCAAAAAAGCGATAAGCCGTTCGATGTTGATCAATCGTCATTTCAAGACTCTTAGATGTAAGCGAAGGCATATATTTTCTTCATGCAATGACGAACGATCGCCTATTATATATGTCAAGTTTCTCAAAATACCAATTTGCCAAACCGCCGTGGGAAAGAAGGTTTGACTTGCCTTTACCTTTGAGGTTTTAAATGATTTCGCGAGGTAGCTCAGTAACAGTGACCCCGTTCCCTACGAGGACGGACGAACATATCCAACCATGGGTTCGACCAGCAAGATTTTTCCAGAGTTTTAAGGAGAATGGACTCGATCGGCACCACTCAACTCCATTCTTCGCGATGGCGAAAAATTCTTAAGCCTGCAGATGAACCCACATACAGAAGAATTCCGATGACCTTCGTCGACTATAGATTTGAGAAAACGATTCGAATGGGAGAAGTGTGGGATTCACGGAGTACGGTACACGTGACGAGGAGCTGTGTTATAAAATAAAAATAAAATGTTCTGAACATTGCTGAAATTCAAAGGACCAACTTTCTATGCGGGCGGCCCCAGTCGTAACAGCGCGGCTCTGAAGGCGAAATCGCCGAAACGTCAGCCATCGAGCAACAACACTAGCAACAATGACAACGACGGCAACAACAATGAAGGCTTATACCAACATTCGCATCAGCTCAAAAGCAGCGGCTAACAATATCATATAAATAAATTGCTGAAATCGCTAAGCAATGACAACCGTATAGCACATATGGATTTATTGGCCGAAAATAATTAGTTTGGTACCAGTTTAGAAGTTCTGCAAAGTCAAGCAAGGTTCCGTGACTGGGCGATTCTTTTGAAATCTGAGTTAGTAACGTCATGAAATCCCAAGAAACATAAAATGTTACCGTTAACTGAACGTCTTTATTAGCATTTAGAATTCCATACGATTGTGATAAGCGCATCATTTTATCCTGAAACAAAATCAACTAGGCACATATCAATGATTGAAGTTAACGCGGGAAGCGCAGCAAAATAAGGAGTAGAAGATCGATCTTACCTTGCCTTTCACGCACCAAGCTATTTGAGAAGAATTTTTATTAGTAAGAGTAAATTCTGCATAACATGGTTTCTTGTAAAAGTTGGGTGAATTGAGGATAAGCCATCTGGAAACATAAATGGAATGCATCGACTTCACTTTAATAACGCCTTCGACAGGCACTAATATCGTTGAGAACTTAGTGATGAACTGAAATTTCAGCAATAGACTCAGTTCGTCATCAAGAAAAACCACTAGTCGCTTTCCATTCGATTGGTGTAGCATGCTAGGAAACAATTTTTTATGTGGGTTGAAGCTATTCTGCTAAGTTCTACCAAGACCTTCATTACAGATGGTTGTCATTATTCCGAACGAGATCTTCACTCTTGTGGCAGTGATTCCTACAGTAGATTTAGTCTTACCTGAACTTCCAATTAGAAATGTCCTCAGTTGCCGACTGTTTCTTACAGGTGAAACCCTATGTAAATTATGGTCATACGACATGTGGAACACTTTAGATAATGCTATGAAGTGAAACACTGGTCATGTTTACGTCAACTTAGTAAACTGGAAATAGTTATGCGATGGAATAGCAAGAGATAAGTCAAAAGCCGTTAGCGTGTGGTACAGTTGTTACAGATGTCCTGCAAAACACACTTGACTGTTACTTCGATCCCCAACTTAAGTGAAACGAGACATTCATCCATGTAGGCAAATTAGTACAATGGTTCTATAGGGGGATATGAAAAAGCTGACTTATTAAACACGTCGATAGACTCTTCTAGTTATTGCATAGGGTAAATATTCACTCAGTGACGTCTGCGATGCTACGAATGGAGTCAACTGCGTACTTCAAAGGATTGAAAGAGGCCGGACTGTTTATTCCTTATCTTCAACGTGAAGTGATTTGCTGGCTTTGTACCTATGTGATCAAAAAACAGGACTAACAATTATGGATATGCTAAAGAATCGAGTGTACAGCAGACAGGTCAGACGTGTTTCCCTCCACACACTTGCTTGCTATTATTTGGCGCTAGTATGCATTTAACAGAATGTATCCATCCTTTTTCTATGGTTTTTGCTCTTTAGTTTGGCTGTCAGGAGTCGGGCGGCACAGTGGTAATGATGTCGACCATCACGACCAAGGTGCTTGTTTCACAACGCACTTAGCTCACTAATCCTCTAATTCCTCCGTATTCATGAACATGTCCTACACATGGAAAATCTCACCTTCTGTGATCAAACTGGAAGCGCTCTAGCTCGGCTATCCGAAGTTGACATAGAGAATCGACACAACAGCTTTAAAGGACATTCGTGACGAAAGGAAGATTCTCAATCAGCAGCCACAAAAATCCCACACCCAAAAAGTTAGAAGACCTTCTTGAATGATGGATATCAGGAAAGGAATTGAATGCAGGAACTGCTGCGATCCCCCACAGTAGGTGTAGGAGACGGGTTGTTTAAAATAAGTTTAAAAACTCTGTTAATGAGCATTATTTAATCATCTGATAAGGTAATGTATTTAGGCCATTTCCTATCTACTAATGTTTGTTCATGCTTTCAAACAGCAAAGTAGTGTTTAATTCACAGCTAGATTTAATATCGTTTTGTAAAACGAAGCTTTTGAACCTTAAAAGTACTTTTGACTTAACTTGGCTCGCAACTGATGTTATCATCCGGCATTTCACCGGAAATGCCGTACTGAACTAGTTGGTCGAATGTTTCAATCACTGCTGGTTGCTTTCGTACGATTGGCAGTATCCGACGCTGTGTTTCACTTGTAGGTGCCATGTTATTTCTGAAATGATTGGAACTGTCGACCCACTATTTCAGCACATAATGTTCTTCTTCGATGTGCTAGTAAACAGGAAAAAAATTGATAGTTTTGGAAAACCAGAAGCTTGACCTAGAAGGCATCAATGCCACAGCTAGTGAAAGCTTAGGAAAACTCCAAGGTCACAAAAATTGCAAGCCATAGTGATGGTCAGAGCGGAGTACAGTGGAGAAATAAGCGCAGGTATTCAGAGAAGAAAAGAATCAAAGAACACAAAAGGCGTATTGCTAAAGTCATGACAGTTCTGGAATACGACGACATTTCGGGAAGTTGCACTGTTACGTTGACCTAGTAGACTCTATAGTTCCGATAAGTGGCGGAAAAAGGACAATTGCTCAGTTCATTGGGAGGTGTAATGCTAATGAACGGGCCCACTGTACTTCTAATCGCCCTGACAAACAATCCAGGAGATGATCTGATGTTACAAGCCCGCTAGACTTGAGAACAAAATTCCAAAGACGTCACCTTTCACAGAGTCACTTACCATGAAGAGGTTATGACTGGAAATGATGCTATCTGCTAATGAAGCTCTTCTTAGTGATAGCGAAGTGATTCAAAGTGAGGAAAACAATCTGATATAATCACAATGATGCTGAAATATTTGCAAAACCTGGACTCTAAACCAGATTCGAACCCATGATTACCCCTTCCGAGAGCTCACGTCCTATCCACTACACCACTTCAAATGATAAGTAGTAAATAAAAAGTTGCACATTCGATTTCGACTACAGCCTGAGGTTCACTAGGTTCAAGGCCGATTTACGTTAATAGCAGATGCTAATTTCTCTATTAATAGAGTAAAAGGAGAACTAAGAATTTTATAAATGTTTAGAAGAAGTTTATAGAAGAACCTTTGCCACAGCGTTGCAAAATTTCGTACCGCAGGTATCTGCGGTGGGGCGCAAACCCGCTATTACCCTTTCCTGGGGCTAATACGTTCATCACCACACCATGCGTATTTTCGTTTCGCCTGTCTCTCAGCTAGTTCTATCGATCAGTACCATCAGCAATTACCTGTCAACGGGTTTGATCTTGGCATCCCAAATCGGCATTGAACGCAGTGCAGCTGAGGCTGTAGTTGAAATTACAATATTAACTTCAATTTGCTGCCTACTACAATTTTGATAGCAGGGTGTTATGCG